GGAGTTGATCACATTGGAAAATGGGGGTTCGGCGCGACCCCCACCCCCCCACCCCGGGTCAGAGGGAGCAGAGGTGACCATGGAAACACAGCACCTCCTGTTTGCATGCGGCCACGTCCAGGTCATTAAAGCCTCCATGACACACTGACTGCCACTGAAGGAGGAACAGGGACGGTCTGCACCCTCTGGGGCGGCCCTCCGGGCTGTGGCCTCCAGCCCTGGGCAGCAGACTCACCTCCACCCTAGCCAGGAGAGCCGCCAGGTCGCCCTCTTCCAGCTGCAGCCATAGCTGCCCATCCCACCTGGTCCCCCTCCCAGAACCTGGGCTCCCCCAGCAGCACCGACCACCCACTGGCCGCCGTGGCCACGCCCACAGGTAAGTGCACTGAGTCCAGAGCAGTTTTTCATGCAGTTTAATGAGCTACAGAGGGTGGGGAGGAGGCAGGAGTCCTGCAGTGCCCGGCCGACTTCAGAGCACATCCCGCCTCTCCCTTTTGCCTGTCAGGGGAGACAGGCTGATGGAGGTGCTGAGGCAGGAGGATCTCAGAGCAGGTGGGGGCGGGGGAGGGATGGAGGAGGGGCGCTAGGTGCAATGAAGAGCTGGCACTGGGAGGGAGCAGGGAGGGTCCCCCAGACACCCTGGAGGGCCTGTCTTCATCTCATGGGCAGGAACGAATATGACGGCGGATCCAAGGCAAGAAGGATGTCACCCGGGCATAGACTCCAGGAAAGTTGGGAAGACCGCAGCCATTTCCCCAGCTCACCACGCCTACCTGGACCCAGGTACCCCTCCATTTACAGACCAAGGGGCCCCCAGAGTCACCCTGTGGGAAGAGGAGACAGGGGGTCAGTACTCAGGGCCCCTGCAGGCAGGAGCAATGGACGGAGGCCACAGTCTGGGGGTCTCACCTGGCAGGAGTCCCGGCCCCAGCTCCCGGCACACAGCATGTCGTCCGTGATAACATTGCCCTTCATGAGGTATTGCTGCCGACAGATCTCATCCGCCACAATGGGGACCTTCACTTCCTGCAGAGTTTTGGGCGGCAGCGGATCTATGAGAAGAAGCCCAGTGAGCCTGTGGTCCTGAAGGGGCGGACAGTCACAGGCCGCGTGTTCTAGAACCACACGCTGAGCCTCAGTGCCCCCAGGGGGACCCATGGAGTCACCCAAGACCCCAACTGTCTGGGTTCACTCGAGGCCAATGGGCTGATAATCTCTAGGCTGACACTGTGGGCACCAAGCTCCAAAAAGAAACAGGGAAATATATTTTTATCCACAAATAATTTTTATTGGGAAAAACCAGAGTAAGTGCTTTCCCCCAAGAAAGGCAGAGTGAGCGGCCCTACTGTCAAATTTGACTTTGTCCATTTAATCGTGAATCCTGGAGCTCGTCACTGAAGTTCTCTCTCCTCGTTCTCCATCCCACTATGGAGACTCAGGGAGAACGGGGACCCCCGGAAGGGATGACATGGCCTTGTGCAGAGTGAGGGAGAGAAATGCCCATGGCATCCTGGCCAGTGTTTCCAGTGATGAGTGCACTGGCCGTAAGGGTCCCAGGTTTGATTGTTGGTCAAGGGCAAGTACCTGGGTTGCAGGTTCAATCCCCAGCCCGGGCCGGAAAGACAACTAATAGATATACTTCTCACATCGATGTTTCCTATCGCTCTCCCTTCCACTCTCTCTAAAAATCAATAGAAAAAATATCCCTGGATGATATTTATTTTAAAAAGATGCCCATTGAAATGCCTCACTCTTATTCGGGGTCTCTGCTCCTTAACAGACTCCTCTCGAGCTGTCTGCCTCCTACACCCAAGGGAGACCCCGGAGGGAGCCCAGCTCAGACCCCAGCTGAGCCTCCTCTGTAAAGCCCGGCCCGCCCCCTGCATCGCCCTCAGTCTCCTCCTCCCACTCCCACGTGTCACCTGGTTCTCACCTCCTGAAGCAGTGTCGCCCCAGCCAGTCACCCAGCACCGTGTGCCTGGGAGGAGTGCGGAGGAGGCTGGCGGGAGGCGGATCCACCTGACGAGGTTAGATGGTCGCACAGGGGCCTCCAGTTTGAGAAGTGCCACGTCTGCCCCACCTAATACTCCCTTTTCAAGGCTGTACTTGGGGTGGCGGATGATCCTAGCCACCTTCACACTGTCATTGTATGAACGTCTCAATTGTCCTAGTTGGACCTTAATGTGCCCAGTCTCTGGGTTTCTCCTGGGGACAGAAGGACAAAGGCTTCTGAGAGGCTGTGGAAGGGAGTGGGCCAGCCCCTCAGGGCCCAGAGACCTCCCCTCTGTGGTGGGCAAGGGGAGCGCCAGGAAGCTGAATCCTGGTGGGGGGTCTGCAGCCACTCAGCCCAGCATCTGCCCCCAACACACATCACATGCCTCCCGACATTGTCCACCACCCCCCCGGGTGCTGGCAGAGTAGGGACTTACCCTGGAATGCAGTGGGCAGCGGTCAGCACCCACTGGGGGTGGATGAGGGAGCCCCCACAAGTGAGATTCCACTGGGAACTTGTTTGATTCCAGAACCACAGGCCCACCTGCCACGGCCACTTCCCATCGGCAGCATCATGTCCCCCCACGATGCCCACCAGCTCAGTCCCTGGGCCGGGATCTGGGGAAGCAGAGGAGGAGCCATCAGGGACCCAGGCACCGCCCCCCGGCACTCAGCATGGCCCCATCCTCAGTCCCTCCCAGAGCCACCCTCAGAGGGGGATCGCCACCCATCCCAGGGGCGGCCTCTGAGAGGTCAGAGACAGGGGTTTGGAGAAAAGCCAGCCTTGGGGGTTAGGACCCACCTGAGGTCACAGGTACAGAGCCCCCCAGACAGGGGAGAGTCAGGACCAGCAGCCACAGCATCTGCAGGGGGAGAGGGCAGGGAGGAGAGCCAGTGAGGAGATGTTGGGCGGGGACACAGCCTGGGAAGGGAGAAGATGGGGCTTTGAGCAGCGTCCTCACCATGCCAGGTCTGTCTGCCTCTGTCCTGGGCCCTCTGAGCCCCTTTATCCTCCTGCCCAGACAGGCCCAAGGGGAAGCCACCTTCCTTTGGGGTGGGGCATGGGAGGCGGCGGGGCTTATCTCTTCAGTGGGACCAGTGGTGACCAGCAGACCAGCTATCAGATAAGAAACATGGTGTTTCCTCTCTGAGAAGACACTCCGTATTGGTGCTGGAGCCCTAGCTGGTTTGGCTCAGTGGATAGAGCATCAGCCTGTGGACGGAAGGGTCCCAGGTTCGATTCTGGTCAAGGGCAGATACCTTGGTTGCAGGTTCCCCAGCCCTGGTCAGGGTTCTCTCTCACATTGATGTTTCTCTCTGTCTCTCCCTCTCCCTTCCACTCTCTCTAAAAATCAATGGAAAAATATCCTTGGGTGAGGATTATCAAAAATAAAAATAATAAAAATATTGGTCTGGAGACATGTCAGTGGTAAGATGACAGTTTGCACATGAAAAAGAAAGAAATGAGATGCTTTGCTTCGGCCTGTACACTGAAGGGTCTCAAGTTCAATTTCCAATCAGACCACATACCTAGCATGAGGGTTGATTCCCTTGATCGGGACAATTACAAGAGACAAATGACCGATGTTTCTCACTTCTCTCTCCCTTCGTCTCGCTAAAATCCATAAGCATATCCTCGGTGAGGAACTAAATAAATGATAAATAATCAGATGCTCTGAAACAACACAGAGCAGGGGCATGGATGGAATGGGGGCTGGCACCTGAGCCAATAGTGGGATGAGAGGGGGGAGGAGAGAAGCAGGCCCTGTGCGCCCCTGCCCTCCTTCTTTTGAGGCTCACAGTGTCCCCCAAAAAGGACAGACTCGCTGGACCTTCAGACAGAGTTTGCCAGCGACACCATGGGATGGGGGAGGCAGCTTCCCTGGAGTCTTTGCAGGTTGTGGGACCTGCTGACACCTTGTATATAGACTTCCAGCCTCCAACACTGTGACAGAATAAAGTTTCATTTAAAGGTCCGGGTCTGTGGCGTTTCTTATGGCCACCCCAGGACACTCAGTCATCTGCTCAGCTGTCCTCATACATCCTATGCTTGATCAAGCTTTGTCAAAATGCACAGGAAAGGGTGTGAGAGGTGCCAATTTAGTGCTAGTTCTCCTCACCTCTCCTCACCTCCTGCACACGCCTGCACCCCCACAGCGCTGGGAGCCAACCCCCCTCTCACACTCCCTGCTTTCTGAATGGAGGAGCTCTGTACCCCAAGTTCAATCCCAGGCAGAGGCTGGCCACCCGCCAGGGACAGGCTTTCCCGCCCTTTGACATTCTGAGAATCATTCTCCACCAAGCATGGGACAGGACCAGACAGTGGTTTGAGAGGAGAAGGAAGAGGGGTTCCCACACTCCTGAACCACTGCCCGGTCCTCTGTGCCCCGTGAGCCCAGTGAGGAGACCACCAAGGGATGCTTTGCAGCACTTAGATGAGCTCAGGCCTCTAGAAACCCATCATTCCCTCCTGGGCCAGAGTCCCTGTCATCCTTGCTGAGATGTTGGTGTCTCCGGGGGCACCCAGAATCCTCAGGGGACACTGGGGATCTTGACAGGAAACAACCAGGATCCAACATGGCTGGGGGCCCTGTGGAGGGGGGAGTGAGCACCCAGGAGGGAAGGGGTGGGACTCCCAGACCCAGCGAGTCCCACAGGCCCAGCGGGGAGACCTCTGGGTGATAAGGGGGCTTCCTCCCTCCCTGCCTCTGGTCTGGACAGAACCCCCACCTTTACCCACCTCAACAGTGGATGTGGGTTTGGGGCTGGTTTCAGCCCAGATGACAGGAAGGCAAGTCACAGAGGTGTCAGCGAGAGGTCACAGGCCCCAACGGCCAGCCTGATGCTGGACCCAGGCTTCCCGTCCCCCGGCACCAGGCTGGGTGATAACCAGCTGGGCCAGACCTGGGAAAAGACGGCATTTGGGCATTAGGAGCAGATCTGCCCCAAACAGAAACAAGAGGTTTGAGGGTCTGGGGGGAAATGTCATGACTATCATTGGCAGATAATACGATCTTCTTCCCAGAAGAGCCAAAAGCCTCAACTGAAAAGGTGCTAAGATTAAGTTTCCCAAGGTGTCTAGATGGAAGACAAATGTTTTACACACAAATCAGGAGAGAAAGAAGGAGAAACTCATCTTTAACCCCAGGCATAGCTAATGCGATGCCATATGGTAGAGACTCCATTCATGACCAGGTCCACACATTCCTAATCTAGAGTCCGTGACAACCACAAAACTTCCTTGAGGAGGGCACTCACACGAAATCAAATGTCATTCAATGTTGTTAACAGGAGACGGTGTCATCCAATATCAACTCTTTCAAAATCCCCATAGAATGTGAACTGCAGGCAAGTCTGGAACATTCAAAGTGACCCCCAAGTTTGCCAGGAGGAACATACAGGTGGGGGTGTCCCAGGAAGCCACAGGGCAGAGTGAGGCAAACTAGGCAGCTGGTACCATAAAGCTGGTGGAACGGGAACCAAGTGGCCGTCCAGTGACACAGGGCAGGTGAACAGCTAGGGCGACCTGCCCATCCTCCTAGACCCAGCCTCAGCGACAGCACAGCAGCAGACAAATGCAAGGTATTAGCTCACAGCAAAGAAGGAGGAGACGGCATCGGTGAGAGGCCGCTGGGAATCAGATGGAGGGGATGAAGAAGAGGAGGTTGGGGAGAAGTGCAACCCCCTGTTCTGGTGCTTGGGTGAAGCCACCTCACTGTGCAGGACACATGCAGATGGGGCCACTTTGAACGTGAGGGACCCAGGCAACTCAGATCTTGGCAGGGGCTGAAGAGGGTCACCCAGCTCAGAGGAAGGTGGTGAGAGCAGAGCTGGACACACGGTCAGGAGCAGGGCGTCCTCTCCCTCCTGCAGTCGGGG